TAACTGTGCAATTAAATTAACAAAGTAGTATCAAATAACAGTTACAACAGTCCTTGCTAAATATCCACAACAAATACACCTTACTAGGGAACTTCTTGTGAGCAACCCAAGCCTACAATTGCCACCAATCTATACTCTCCTCACTCACCCACCCACCTTCTCCTTAAAAATCTCTCTAATATCTGTATGGAAGAAACAATGCAAAATATGTAGTAACTTTTAAAAACATAGAAAATAGCTACAGGAGTAGGCCATTATGCCCCACCATTCAATATGATCAAGAAATTTCAGCCTCTTCCTATAGTTCAAACCCTCTAAACCTGGAAACATCCTTGTAAATCTTTTCTGAACCCTTTCAAGTTTCACAACATCTTTACTATAGCAGGGAGACCAGAATTGCGCACAGTATTCTAAAAGTGGCCCAATCAATGTCCTGTACAATGACAACATGACCTTCCAACTCCTATACTCAATGCACTGACCAATAAAGGCAAGCGTATCAAACGCCTTCTTCACTATCTTGTCTACCTGCAATTCCACTTTCAAGGAACTATGAACCTGCACCTCAAGGTCTCTTTGTTCAGCTACACTCCCTAAGACCTTACCATTGAGTATATAAGTCCTGCCCTTATTTGCCTTACCAAAATACAGTACCTCATATTTATCTAAATTGAACTCCATCTGCCACTCCTTGATCCATTGGCCGTCTGATCAAGGTCCCGTTGTATCCTGAGGTAACCTTCTTCACTGTCCATGACCCCACCGATTTTTGTGTCATCTGCAAACTTACTAATCATACCTCCTATATTCGCGTCCAGATCAATTATATAAATGACAAAAAGCACTGGACCTTGCACCGATCCTTGCAGCCCACTACTGGTCACAGACTTCCAGTCCGAAAAGCAACCTGCCACCACCATTCTCTGACTCCTATCTTCGAGCCAGTTATGTATCCAGCGCCTCACCCATGGCTATCAGTGATACAAATATCTCAGCAAGGGGCCCAGCAATCATTTCCCTAGCTTCCCACAAAGTTCTAGGGTACACCTGATCAGGTCCTAGATGATCCAAAATCCACCCTTTATGCGTTTTAAGGCATCCAGCACCTCTTCCTCTGTAATACGGATGTTTTTCAAGATATCGCTGTTTTCTTTCCCCCACAGTAAACACTGATGCAAAATACTCTTTTCATATCTCCCACATCTCCTGTGGTTCTACGCACACGTGGTGTTGCTAATCTTTGAGGGGCATATTTTTTCCCTAGTTACTGTTTTGTCAATATATTTGTAGAATCTCTTTGGACTCTCCATAACCCTATTTGCCAAAGCAATCTCATGTCCCTCTTTGCCCTCCTGATTTCCCTTTTAAGTATACACCTATTGACCTTATACTCTTCTAGGGATTCACTTGATCCCTGCTGTCTATACCCAACGTATGCTTCCTTCTTTTTCTTGACCACAATCTCAATTTTTCTCATCATCCAGTATCCCCTACATCTACCAGCCTTGCCCTTTAAGCCTAACAGGAACATGCTGTCTCTTGACTCTCATTATCTCATTTCTGAAAGCATCCCACTTTCCATCTATCCCTTTACCTGCGAACATCTGTCCCCAATCAACTTTTGAAAGTTCTTGCCTAATACTCAAAATTGGCCTTCCTCCAACATAGAACTCTAGCATGTAGATCCAGTCTATCCATTTCCATCACTATTTTAAAACTAATAGAATTATGATCACTGGCCCCAAAGTGCTCCCCCACTGATGCCTCAGTCACTTGCCCTGCCTTATTTCCCAAGAGAAAATCAAGTTTTGCACCTTCTCTAGTAGGTACCTTCATGTACTGAATAAGAAAATTTTCTTGTACACACCTAACAAATTCCTTTCATTTCACACTCTTAATACTATAGCAGTCCTCCTTTGCTGCATTCTGAAATTCTCCTAAGCCTCAAGCTTCCAACTTTATCAACCTCCCTCACTGTTGCGTATTCTTGACTTGAAGGAATGGATGTTTTCTGTACTCATTGGAATTTAGAAGAATGAGAGGCAACCTAATTGCAACATACAAAATTTTTCAGGGGATTTCAACAAAGTATATCTGGAGAAACGGCTTGCCCTTGTGGGAAAGTCTAAGACAAGAGAGAATGATCTAAGAAGAAGGCGTTGCCCCTTTAAGGAGGAATTTCTTGTCTCGGAAGGCAGTGAATTTGTGGAATTCTTTACTGCAGAGAGCTGTCGAGGCTGGGTTGTTAAGTATATTCAAGGCTAAAATAGGCAGATTTTAATCAAAGGAGTAATAAAACAAAGAACTGTGCGTGCTGAAAATTTGAAATAATAATGAAGTACTGGAAAAATTCAGTTCTATTGAAGGGTCACTGGACTGAAACATTAATTCTGGTTCCTCTCCCTGAGGGAAGTAAATGTTATAATGAAAAGGCAGGAAAGTGGAGATTATTGCCTTAAAGATTTTGCCTTTCAGTCTCTTAACTAGCTCCCTAAATTCTATGTTCAGGATCTCATCCCTCTCTCTACCTAAGTTGTTACTGCCAATATTGACCACCACCTCTTGCGCTTGACTCTTCCTTAAAAGAATGTCCTGCAGCCACTCTATGACATCCTTGAGTTTGGCACCAGGGAGGCAACATGCTATCCTTGAGTCACATTTATGGCCACTGATTTCCTATCAAATCATTTATTGCAAATCCAGTGTTCTTCACTCCCCCACCCCATACCCAACCTGTACAGCTAGGCAATTGTGGTGCCACAAGCTTGGCTTTCATTACATTCTTCTAAAGAAGCATGATCCTCACCCATGTCCAAAATTACACTTTTGTTTTTAAACCCAGCATTCTGGAGCCGTAGCAGCATGAGTAGCTCTGTACTCTCTCTCCCAGATAAGTGTAAGCCCAAGCCCTGTGCTCTGTTCATAGCCTCTTTGTCCATGGTAAATTTCCCTGCTGCTCTCTGCTGTCTCTCTCAGTATCCCGATAATGCTTATTCCTTAGCTGCTTGCAACAGAATATTAGCAGAACTTCAGTGGTATGGAAACAGGTTAAAGACCTAGATTTTAAGAATTCCCTTTGGGGCAAATGGGTGCAAAGTGCCTCTGCTTGCAATGGACATAGGAACCGTGTTGCATATAAAATGAAACAGGATCTCATCCTATGGTTTCAGGTGGCAGGTAGTAGACATAGCAGTCTCAAGAAATTCTACACCCCCTCACCAACAATCCCCCCGAATCCCGTTCCTACCAATTGCAAAATTAGAGCCAACAGGTAAGTCCATTCTTCTCCCGTTATAAGTATCAGACAAAGGCTTTTGAATGCAATCAAAAGGCCTGAACAAGCTAATCATTGGTTTTATTGCAGATTGAGTTGATGTACACCAGTAGCACACTTTCTCTCCTATTCATAGTTTCTAGGACCTGCCTGGGATGCAAGCACATCATTGAAATGATTGACCAGCTACATTTAGACATATCCAATGACGTGGACTGGCACAGCCCACTTTGAAAAGTCATTGCTGCATTGATAACTTCCTGCAATAACAATGTGGCTAAATTAGAAAATTCTGACACTAAAGTAATTTTCAATCTAAGAAATACAGCAACCATCTAAGATGGAAAATCCTATGTCCACTGAGGGCAATAGATTAATACATTTTCTTAACAAAATTTGTGAAATTTTCATCCTTCCATTTGCCATTTTACTGAATACATTTATAGCAACATAAAAATAGCAAAGCAAAATATTTAATAATGAATACATACAGCATATTCAATACACACTATAGGAAGCAAAATTATGCTACCTTATAGAAGGAATCCATGGAAAGCAGGACCACCCAAGGAACATCTAAAGCCTCAATGATCTTGTTAGCCACTGTAGTTTTGCCTGAAGAGCTACCTCCACACAAACCTGGAAAGAAAAAATGGCTGTAAGCATATTATAAGGTTGCCAAATGGAGAGGGAGGGAATACTGAGGCAGAATGAGGAGTGATTGTCATGCAGGAATGGAGTGCATTATGAACCAAAGGAATGACATTTCAGCTGAAGTTTAAAGGTGGGTTTTCTGTTTGTTACAGTTAGCCAGCACTACATCTTTCAAAATAAAAACCAAAAGAACCGCCGATGCTGTAAATCAGGAACACAAACAAAGTTGCCAGAAAAGCTCAGCAGGTCTGGCAGCATCTGTGAAGGAAAAAACAGAGTTAATGTTTCGAGTCCAGTGACCCTTCCTCAGAACTGCATCTTTCAAATCAGGTAATAGACCTTCAAGAGGTATATACCTAGCAGGAGAGCAAAACTGGTTGTTGGTTTCAGGGGACAGATGGACATTAATTTTTAGTAAAAGGTGGGAATAAATTATATTGTTTCTTTTATTTCCTCTTCTAAGTTATGGAACTTGTGTGGTTAAAAAGGTGTTTAGCATGCTTAATAAAAAACAAAAGAACTGCGGATGCTGTAAATCAGGAACAAAATCAAAGTTGCTGGAAAAGCTCAGCAGGTCTGGCAGCATCTGTGGAGGAGAAAACAGAGTTAACGCTTCGGGTCCAGTGACCCTTCCTCAGAACAAATCCATGCCGAACATAATCCCAAACTAAACTACTTGCCTGCTCCTAGCCCATATCTCTCCAAACCGTTCCTATTCATGTACTTATTCAAATGTCTCTTAAACATCGTAACTGTAACTGTAACATCAAACTTTAAACATCGTATCTGAGGAAGGGTCACCGGACCCGAAACATTAACTCTGTTTTCTCCTCCAAAGATGCTGCCAGACCTGCTGAGCTTTTCCAGCAACTTTGTTTTCGTTTAGCATGCTTGCCTTAATTACTCAGTCCTTTAAGTATAGGAATTGGGAATTCATGTTGAGGTTGTACAGGACATTGGTGAGGCGTCATCTGGAATACTGTGTCCAGTCTGGTCGCTCTGTTATATTAAAAGAATATTATTAAGCTGGAGAGGTTTCAGAAGAGATTTACCAGAATGATGCCGGGTATGGAAGGTTTGAGTAATGAAGATACGCTCCAGTGAAAAAAATCCCAGCCTAAGAGATTGAGAGATGACCTTATAGAGATTTATAAAATCATGAAGGGTATAGATAGGCTTATGGTAGATATCTTTTCCCTAGGACGGGGTATTTTGAGACTAGGGGGCACATTATGAGGATGAGAGGAGAGACATTTAAAAAAGGCACTAAGAGCAAATTTTTTTTACACAAAGGTTCGCATGTGGAATGAACCTCCTGAACAAGTGGTAGATGCAGGCACAGTTACGATGTTTAAAAGACATTTGAATAAGTACATGAATAGGAACGGTTTGGAGAGATATGGGCCAGGAGCAGGCAAGTAGGACTAGTTTAGTTTGGGATTATGTTCAGCATGGACTTGTAAGTCCAAAGGGTCTGTTTCTGTGCTGTATAACTCTATGACTGTGTCCTTTTAAGTTTTTTGTTTTGAAAACCTAGTCTGAATGAGAAATAGTTGTTTTAAAAACAACTGCATTTGAAAGATTGTCTGCAGTTTTGAAAGCAGATAACCTGACATGCATTTGCAGGAATCACAAACAACAATTTGAACAAGCAGAAATTGAAGATGGCTTGCAAAGAATTTGGAGCCAAGGGGACTGTACTGGAGCAGCTTTTGCTGACAAGAAGTTAATCGATAACTAGTCTGTAGTCCATAGACCAATGACAAAGAGCCTTTGCCTGCCAACTAGAGTTATTTGGTTCTCAGGTAACTGTGTGTCTTGGAGCTGGGAACAAGTTAGAAAGAAAGAGAGCTGTTCAGTTCTTCCCCAACTTAGGAGTGGTCTTTCTGTTCTCTGCAGTCAGTAAGTCTGAAAGAAACCAATTTACCTTTTCTGCAATAGTTGTTGTAAGCTGTGACAGTTAACTGATAAGTCAGAGACTATTTTTTTAAAATAAGGAAACCAACCACCTTGTCTTTCATCAGTGATGCAAAGGTAGAAATTCAACTGAAGCAACATGCTGGTCAAAGGAAGAGTCATAAGGATCATCTCAAAATCAGCACATGGGAACAAAGACAACTGAACTGTCTTTCCAGCTTTCTCGCTCTGTCCACAGCCTATTTTACCTTATCTGTTTGCTTGCCTGCGTAAGAGTGTGTGTTGGTATTTTATTTTGTACTTTTATATGTCAATGCTCTATAACTGTTTACTTGTGTAAACAGTTTAATCACTTGTAATAAATAGCGATGCTTGTACTTTAGAGAAACCTGGGTCTGAAAGTCAGGTAAAATTGGTGAACTCCATGCTTTTTAAGTGTTCTTTAACTTTTGTGAAGACTCTGGGAATAGCCTGATTTCCAGCACACTACGCAAAGTGAGTCATAACACAATGAATAGTCAAAATCTGACATTCTCTCCCTCAAAAAGCTTTTGGAGTTTGTTCAATTGAAAATTTCAAATGGAGATGATGGATTTTGGTTAGGCGAGGGTAATATGGGATGTGAAACCAAAGTAGGTTAATGGTGTTGAGGTACACAGCCATGATCTGGACAAAATACGGAATGTGATCAAATGGCTTACACCTGTTCACTTGCTCCATTGTATTATGCATTATTGTTATCAAGGTTTAAATCATATTTCACTCTAACCGCGATGAGTACTGTGTTAAATATTGGGTATTACTTACCAATGACAAATGCTTCTTTAAATGGAGTTCCTGACTCATTGTACCAGGGAGGTCGCCCTGCAGTGTAGATGGTGCGCTTGCTAGTCCTCAGAAGTGGTGGTTCAGATTTACTTTGGCTTGTTGTTCTTTTCCGTGGAGAAAGTGATGGAGTTAATGGTAGCCGAGAAAACAAACTGTCCAAGGAATCCTCCCCACTACCACTAGGATAGGAGATGTAGTATGTTAGTCGCACTTATTCTTGTAATTACATATTCAACTTTTTTCCATATTTAGTCTTGGAAACCTGTACTGTGTGGCAGTATGAGCCGTGGGGTGATAATGGGAATTTGTTTCACTGGCACTGTTTACAAATACAGACACAGTAAACACTAAGGAGCTTTATATTTAGAAAGATCAAGAATTGATTTTTTTTTGCTTCTGGGAAAAAGCCATAGTATGGAAAGCTCTCATTTTTTCAGCTCACAGAGGGCTGTCGGAAGTTAGATGTATGAACTAGTTTCTCCCAAAGAAAGGAGATCATTTAGAACTGTTAGGAAATAGGTTACCTCAGTGTTCCAGACTAGAAATGTTTGGAGACAACATTGAAGGGGTTATTTAAAGTTGAGAAAGTCTAAGATCATTTGTACGATTAATTAAGGAATGGGTTCCAGACTCTCTAGACTGGGAACTGAAAGAAAGAGTTAAGTTAAACCAATAGATGTAATAGAGATGTAAACTCTCTCTCATATTTAAGTACTGCAAAATGATGAGGAGGGTATAGATGGGATTATATTTTTATTTTGTGTTTCAAATTATGTTACATGTAAACAGCTCAGTTTATGCAGTATTACCTTATTTTCTGTTGCATAATGACGTCATTCTTTTGTTAATGCTAAATCTGTGGCATGGTGTGCATTTTTTATTCATTCACAGGATGTATGCATCACTGTCTAGGCCAGCATTTATTATATGTCCCTAACTGTCCAGAAGGCAGTTAAGAATCAAGCATATTGCTGTGCATCTGGAGTCACAGGTATGCCAGAACAGGTCAGGACAGCAGTTTCCTTCCCTAACGGGCATTAGAGAACCAGAGCAATTTTTACAACAGTGATTTATGGTCATCATGAGTGTCTTAATTTCAGATTTTTATTGAATTCAAATTCCTCTATCTGCCATGGCAGGATCTGAACACAGGTTCCTGAAACAAAAACTAGGTCTCTAGTGTTAATAGCAGTAGGCCATCACCTGACCTTATGTTGCAGTGAAAGACCACCATGTCAAATAAAAAAAAAGTCTATCAAACCATATTTCAGTCTGGGATCTAACCTATCCAGTAATAGCATCAGCTGAGTTCATACCAACACACAAACATATTGGACTGAGATGTTGCCTGTTTCTCTCTTGACAGATGCTGCTGAGTTTCTCCAGTATGTTGTTTTTATTTCATATTTCTAGTATTTGCAAGATTTTGCTTTTAAACAGCATTTGTGCTTCTTACATTCTAGTTTTTGCTTAAAAAAAATGCATCTTATTATTGTAATACTCATATAAATGAATGTTGCATTACAGAAGCTTCTCGGCAAACTGTACCATTTTATTGGATCAGTGTCATTTTATCATAACAAGCCTCTTTAAATAAATCCTCACTTTATCTAAATGGGTGAATTATCAGTACAAATCAAAACAAATATGTCATACCCACTAGCCATTATAGACATGGCTGCAAGTGGCCAAGGCTGTGAACTGAATATTTAAGGGTTCTTGACATTTCAGAAGAACAGGAAGCTAAAAAAACGTGGTGAGCTAACTCTGGTAATTCAGAAACATTAGTATAATAGTGATCTAAACTTTGTTCTAAAGGTTAAGATGTTGAATAAACTTGGCTGGAGAAAAGAAATAGAAAAGGTAAGAAGTCATATGTGACAGTATTTTAAGATCCCCTTATAGTAGCTAAAGTATAGGATAGAGTATTTAAGAAAAGAATAATGGGGGTTTGTAACAAAATGTTAAGCAATAATTATAGGTGATTTATACTCTACATATAGATTGGATGAATCAGATTAACAAAAATAGTCAGTAGGGTGAGTTCAGAGTGTATCTGGACAATTTTCTTTCGCACCAACCAGACAGAAGGCTATTTTAGAACTGGTCATGTGCAATGGAACAGGATTAATTAATGGCCTCATACTTAAAAGGAGTCTCTAGGTAACAGTGATCATATTATAATTAGATTTCACATCCAATTTGACAAAGATAACTGTAGACCTAAGACAAATGTTTTGAACATAAATTAAGGTAATTAACAAGGGTTTAACAAGTGGAAGAGAGAAAGCTAGTTCGAAGTATAAAAATAGATAGCAAGAATTTCAATTAAGTATGTAAGAAGGTTAACTAAAACAAGTACTACTGCCCTCAGCAGCAAGCCTCAGAAATTGGGAAGAATTAAATTAATATTTTCTGTATCTGTCTTCATTGCAGAGATCACAAATAACTGTACATTCAAGAGGTGAATGGCGAGGGAGGAATTTAAAGTATTTACAATTGCAGGGAAAGGAACTCAGAAAATGATGATGATGAATAGAGGCTGACATGGCCCCAGGACCTGATGGCATGCATCTAGGGTCTTAAGAGAAGTGGTTGCTGAGATCGTAGCTGCAAATTGTTTTAATTTTTCAAGGCTCTGCAAGGGTCCCATCAGACAGAAAATTAGTGAATGTAACTTCCCTATTCGAGAAAGTAGGAAACTTAGCCTAACATCCGTCATGAAGAAAATGCTACAATCAATTTTTCAGGCGTTTACGTGGTTTTGTGAAAATGAAATCACCCTTGACTAATTTATTAAAATTATTTAAGGGAAGTGACAAGCGATGCAGTTGAATGGAAAGCCGTGGAAATAGTTTAATTGGATTTGATAAAGTGTTACATTAAAGTTACTATTTAAAGTCAGAGCTCACGGTATAAGGGGTAATTATTAACATGGATAGAGGATAGGCTAATTCACAACAAGTAGGGGTAAATGGTTCATTTTTGGGTTGATAAGCTGTAACTACATTAGTATCACAGCGATCAGTACTGGGGCCTTAATCATTCTACGTCAATCCATATCAATAACTTGGATGAAGGGACCAAATACAAGGTTGTGAAATTTACTGATGACACAAAAAGAGAGGTAGGACACTTAGTTCGAAGAGGGCATGGGGGCATGAAAAGGAATATAGATAGGTTAAGCGTATGGGCTAAGTTTTGAAGATGGAGTTTAATGTGGGAAAACGTGAACTTGTCCATTTTAGCAGAAAGAATAGAAAAACAGTATGGCATTTAAATAGAGAGAGATTGCAAAACTCTGCAGAAAAGGAGGATCTGGGCATCTTTGTAAATTAATCATAAAAAGTTAGTATGCAGGTACAGCAAGTTATTAGAAAGATAAATAGAATGTTCTTGGTTATTCCAAGGGGAACAGAAAATAAAAAAAGTAGGGATGATCTGCTAAAATTGTATAGAGCATTGATTGGACCACAACTGATGTAGTTTGTGGATCTTATTTGATAAAGGATATAACTAAATTTTGTAGTTCAGAGAAGATTCGCTCGACAAATTCCTGAGATAAAATCTTATGAGGAAAATCTTGTGAGGGAAGGTTGAACAGATTGAGCTTATACTCATTAGGGTTCAGAAGACTTAAATAAGAATATAAAAATCCTGAGGGGATTTGACAGCATGGATGCTAAGAGGATTTTTTTTCTTGTAAGTGAAATCAGATCTCGGGAACATATTTAGAAAAAAAAAGTCTCCTGTTTAAGATGATGTTGGGCTGGGGCAGACAAGGTCAGAAACCACACAACACGAGGATATAGTCCAACAGGTTTATTTGAAAACACAAGCTTTTGGAGCATAGCCCCTTCATCAGGTGAAGTGAGAAAGACGTACACAGAACACAAACTTTATAAGTAAAATATCAAGGGTCACATGACTGATGAGGATTTATTAAACAAACCTGAAATGCTGTTTATTTTTAATCAGTTAAAAGGTTTTAATTGATTAATATCTTTATGTAGCTTCCCAAATTTCTTTCAATTCACTGCCCTGAGAGAACTAAAGGTTTTATCAGGGTAAACAAGAGGTGACACTTGGGTCAGACAATGTATTTGAGGTGTGAGGCCTTGTTTAGAATCTGTTTGTGTGTTGGTTTGGAGTCAGGCTGGTCTTATTTCTGAAGTAGGAATTTATAAAATGCCACATTGGCTGACTGCCTATAGATTGTGTGTTTTCTGAACAAAATAGCCTATATCTGCAAATACAAATTCACCCCATAGATGTCTGTGTGAGAGCGAGAGAGTGAGAAAACGAGTGAGCAAGAGAGAGAGCGCAAGCAAGCAAGAGAGACAGAGACAGCGAGAGAAAGACTGAGACAGAGAGAGAGCAAGACACAGACAGAGAGAGAGAGAGCGAGAGACAGACAGAGAGAGAGGCACAGAGAGAGTGTGCACGTGTGGGGGAAAGACATTGTGCAAGTGAGGCGGACAGAGAGAGAGTGCGTGTGTGTGTGTGAGAGAGAGAGAATGTGAGAGAGAGAGAGTGTGCGCATATGTATGCATGAGAGAGTGTGAACAAAGAGTCCCTCTCTCTCACTCAAACACACACACAGGACAGTGACTCGAAAGAAAGTTGTGGATTTACATATGCACAAAATCAATTAAAACCTTCTATCTGATTAAATATTTAACAGCATCTTAGGTTTGTTTAATACATCATCAGTTGTCTGACTCTTTGATCTTTTACTTATAAATTCTGTGCTTCTTTCTCACTTCACCTGATGATGGGACTACGCTCCAAAAGCTGGTGTTTTCCAATAAACCTGTTGGACTATTTCCTGGAGTTGTGCGATTTCTGACCTTGTTTAAGATGAAGATGAGGATTTATTTCTCTAAACATTTTTACTCTGTAGAATTTTCTACCCAGAGAGTAATGAAGGCCGGTTGATTAAATATTTTTATGATTGAGTTAGATAGATTAACAATGGTACAGGTCCAGTACAAAGGGTTGAGGGCACAGATGTGCCATGATTTATTCATGTTGCAGAGCAGGTTCAAGGGGCCAAATGGCTCATTCCTAAATTTTATGATTGCAACATTGATAATTCCTGCTCAACTTACTTAAGAATTAAATATATAACACTTTCAAGATATTTGGAATGTAGTTTAATGACTCAGAACCAAATGTC